TAACTGAGAAAGCTTAAGCCTAATTAATTTTATCCCCTTTGACTTAAAGAAAGAGCACATGAAAGAAGGGGCTCTGAGGACATCATAAACTGGGCCCCAAGAGCACAAATTCCACAGTGTTTATCTGGTCCTGGCCAGAGGCTGGAGACACTGACTCTGGTGTATACAAGCCTTGCAGTGACTGGAGAGATTTACTCTTTTGGAGGAAACAGAGAATTCACTCCTCTAAAACCTGAATGAGGAAGACTAGCTTGCCTTCAGCTGCAATTCAATTTAGTGCTCAACAGGCAAGCTTCTGCTTAATAATTAGACCTCTGAATCACCTTTCCTATATCCTCTCCATTGCAAATTAATAAATGACATTCTGGTTTATACATCTGCTTTTATGAGTTTGGTTAATACAAGTTGGTCCCACAAATCTCAGCTCTTTGTGCACAAATCTGATCCATTGACATAATTGAGTTTCAAGGTGAGGAAAGTTGAGGACCAGACTATAGAACACAGTGACCCCCTCCAACACATTGTCAGCCCGTGAGTAGACAGCCAGCTCCTTTCTAGATGAACATATTTACCTCACTGTATCCTTCAGTCCACAACACACCTAACTCAGGAACCTGTTCTACGGTATCTCTGAACGATGTTCTCTTTGGATGCCCCCAGTGGTCAGGAGCTCACGGTCAGAACCCTTCAAAGCAGCCTGCTTTCTTGGAGATCTTGGTTGGTAGAATATTCTTTCTTTCTTTTCTTTCTTTTTTTTTTTTGTGAGGAAGATCGGCCCTGAGCTAACATCTGCCAATCCTCCTCTTTTTCCTGAGGAAGACTGGCCCAGGGCTAACATCCGTGCCCATCTTCCTCTACTTTATATGGGACGCTGCCACAGCATGGCTTGACAAGCGGTGCGTTGGTGCACGCCCGGGATCCGAACCGGCGAATCCCGGGCCGCCGCAGCGGAGCACGCGCACTTAAACCACTTGCGCCACCAGGCCGGCCCTAGAATATTCTTTCTTAAATTGAAATTAAATCCGTCACCTCATCACTTCCACCTTCTGGTTCTTTCACAAAATGTAACACAAGTTTTTGTGTGCCTCGGGTGCCTATCCTCAGTTCCTCCAAAAGAACTTGAACATGACTGAGTCCAGCCCTCTCTCACCCTATTATTCTCCTCCTAGCGTTCTAGTGTCTTTCTTGAAAACATGATCCCCTCAGAATCTGGTCAGTCCACTAGCACTATTATATCTTATGATATAAGCGCAGCGTAAGTTTGCTGTTTCTTTTAGCAGCTGCATCTCACTGTTGGCGCCTATGCTTCCGATAAAACGCCTTCCATCTCAATGCATTTCCCCTTCCTTTTGGATGTGAAGCTGTTGAAATGAGATCCACACCGGTAAGGTTGTGGGTTTACGAGGGTGAGCTTATTTCCCCCTCTGGTGAATGCTGTTTCTGTTTAATCTGAGGCAGAGGGTCCTTAGCTCAGGACCAATAAACAGAGCTGTTTCAAGAATTCAGACCTAAGCAGTGAATGAGTTTATTTTTCTTAGGAAAAAAAAAAGATCCACCTTTCTTGAGGAGATGAGCCGTTACTAGAGATCTGGGAGGGTGTTTGACTCATCTTTGTCCCAGAGCACCCGGCAGGTAGAAGGCCCTGGGTATGGGCTTGATGAATCTAGCTAACTAGATACTTATTTCAGTTGGGGGCGGGGGAGGGGGATAAAAGGGAGAAGAAAAGCTATTTTGCTGTTTTTCCTTCTGGTTCTAGAATATAAATATTGTGTATATGGTAAACAGTTTGACCAAACCTAGGATGTAGAGGTTTGGTTTCTCTCAGAATCCCTGACACATTCCGTGATGAGTTATCTGTCATCTGGAATTCTCTCCCTTACACAAGCCCAAGCTGCCTCAGGCACTAATTTGCCTATTTGCTGTTGACTTAACCTAGGAAAAACTCCCTATGGCTCATTCTCCTCCACCCTGTCCCTCAGCTCCTCGACACCCTTATTCCGTCCACTTGCCACCCCTCCTTCTCCTCCCCCAACCCCAGCCCGCAAACGCACCCGGGGTTGGAGTTTAGGATTTGATCTCTCATTGCCCACAGATCGCAGGACAGACGTTCGCAGGGACAACTTTGAGAGGCCATGTGCTCGTCCCCCTCGGGAGTGGGAGAAATCCCTGCAGCTCGGTTTTGTTCCAATGGTCTGTTCAGTGAGTGAGTCCCGTTTCCCCAAAGGCTGCCCCTCATTAGCATGAACGGGGGTGGGGGTGTGGAGAAGGGTGGTGGGGAGAGAAGGAGCAAAAGCCCAGGCTCAGTTTTAGAGCCTGGGAACCGTGTCTACAAAGATGACAGCTAGAGCTTTCTGGCTCCTCTGTTTGATCGTTGGATCATCTCCCGAAGCCCCGGTGGCGGAGAGAAAAGGTAAGATCGATGAAATGCTGAGCCCTGGGAGAGGGGCTGGGATCCGGGGGGTACTGGGGAGAGGGCGCGATGAAGGGCGGGACGAGAAAGGGGTCAGAGCGTGCGAGGCAGGCGACTCCAGGTCCGTGTTCGCGTTCGGAAGGAGCAAAATGTGTCCCCAAGATTTTGGGTGTCTTGGCAGCCTTTTCGGAAAGAAGCCAGTTCAGCTACTGAAATGATCTCGAGCGAGCCGGGCAGGCTGGAGAAAACTTTGCATGCTAAGTAGTTGCTCCATCAGCGAGGAGGGAAAGTGTCAGAAGGGGTCGCGGCGCGCCTTTCGGGAGCCGTGCGGGCTCGCAGGACGCGGCGGGCGCCCCGGGAGCGCGGGGTCCGCCCTGCGCCCCGTCCCGGTCCCCGTCCCGCGGGCGAGCAGGGGCGCTGGGTGCGCCCGCCGGGCTGAGGGCGAGGGGAGCTGCAATCGGACACTGCTCCCCTCGCCCTGAGCCCCAACGAACGGCCTCGGGACACCTGAGTCTTGAAATTTTTCACGCATGAAATGAAAAGGTTACTGACGGAAGGGAGCAATAAGGGACTGTCTACGGGGACGTGTTTTTGTTTTGCTTTATTTGGATGTCCTGTTCGATTCACTATCTCTGGGAAAAATAGCTTCCGCACCTCACAGGGCAATTTACTTTGGGTTATTTTTCCACATGGAAATTGAATGACTTCAGTGGCATTTAACCCAAATATCAGAGAATCTTTCCCATGACAACAGATGGTGATATCAATGGGGAAGCAGTTCTGAGGTCAACAGTTGACAGTCAGGAATTGGATATCCACCAGAACTTTACTCAGCTGGGTATGGGACAACGTTGACCATGATGAGTCAGAATCAACCTCTTTGCAAAAACATGAACTATAACCAGCTATTATTGCTGGGTGAAAGCTGGCTTTAAAGGAGACTGTCAATTTGGCAAGTAGCAAACGAAGTGTTGCAAGAGCTGCAAACGGTGGCCCGAGCTCTTCACTGCAAGAGGAGAGAAATGCTGACAACCAGCCGTTAAAACAACAAAAAAAGAAAACGACTAGCTCTTGTGCCTGTTGGGAGGGCACTGGGACCCAGGCAAACAGGGAGGCGATATTGTGTAACTGGGCATGGAAAGTTGCCCAGCCTCCAAGCTGGCTGAAGTTTGCTCACCAACCTGTCTGCAGAGCTGGGGAAAATCATTACTAATTTAAAAAATTTTTCATGCCATACCATTTGGGAGATTGTTCTCCACCATGGAAGGGGGCAGGGGGATGTAAGCGGTGTGTGTGCTTTTAGACTTCACCAGGGGCCTCTGCCTCCCAACCACGCTTTAAAAATCTTTCTTAGCTGTGGTTTACTAGTAAGTGGTGTCCAAGAAGCCAGATAAAAATCCACTCACAAATGCTCGATTCTGCAGAGACCAAGATGACAGTGTAAACACGGATGGGAAAACCAAATAGTTCTGTTGTCAGGGGCGCTGAAACAATTAAGAGAACCTGTAATATGAGACCTTTCTCCCTGGGGTTTGCTCTTGGTACTTACTCAACAAACTGTACATAGCAAACAGGCGGATGTTTATATATATATATTAAAGCAAGGACAAAAAGAGTTTGTTATTTAACCAAAGTTGTCAGATATGTTTAGTCCTAGAACAAATTGGTGGTTGTAGTTTTAGAAGCTATAGATTTGAAAAGGTTCCTCAGCAAAATGAAATGTTCCCATCAGGCCTCCGATTCCTCACGTGGTGAGAAAAATTTTCCTAGTTGGCCTCATTCTTAGAGGGCAAGACCCTCATCGCTGTCCTCCTTTGGGGCCTAGGAAACCTGTGCTCCACGCGGACCAGAAGCGGAGGCTTCCCTCCCCTCAACGTGGGGGCGCCTTCCTCTTCCCTCCTTCTTCCACTCCAGGTCTCCTGACCTCCCCATCTCTCCTCTCGCAGGTGCTAGCGGAATGTACATTGTCCCCCATCGCCTCTCTCCTCCCACAGCCCTTTCTTCTCTCCCCCCGTCGGCCTCCCCGGCCTCCTCTCCCCTCCCCCGTCGGCCTCTCCTCCCCTGACAGCCTCCCCGGCCTCTCCCCTTCTCTCCCTGCAGCCTCGCCGCCCCACAACAGGAAGCCCGGCCCCGGCGGCGGCCAGAGTGCGGAGGAGACGCCCGGGCCCCGGGCGCAGCCGCTCCCCG